ACAAGGCAAGATTGGTCGCACAAGGCTACAACCAGGAGGAAGGAATTGATTTTGATGAAACATTCGCTCCGGTAGCAAGGTTAGAAGCAATTAGATTACTACTTGCTTACGCGTGTTCTATGAATTTTCAGTTATTCCAGATGGATGTCAAAAGCGCTTTCCTGAATGGGTACATTAATGAGGAAGTCTACGTCAAACAACCTCCGGGTTTTGAAGACTTCAAAAATCCCTCACATGTTTTCAAACTGAAGAAGGCTCTCTACGGTTTAAAACAAGCACCACGAGCATGGTATGATCGCCTTAACAACTTCTTATGTGAGAAAGGATTTACAAAAGGAAAGGTTGACAAGACGTTGTTTGTAAAGAAGATCAAGGGTAACACCTTGTTAGTACAAGTCTACGTCGACGACATCATTTTTGGATCAACAAACAAAGAACTCTGCGAAGAATTCTCATTCATGATGCGAGAAGAATTCGAGATGTCCATGATGGGAAAGTTAAATTATTTTCTTGGACTACAAATCAAGCAAACCAAGGATGGAATCTTCCTCAACCAATCCAAGTACTGTAAGGAATTAATAAAGAAATTCGATATGGATAGTTGCAAGATGATGTCTACTCCTATGGGATCCGGAACGTATGTTGATCAAGATGAATCTGGTACTCCAATTGATATTACTAAATATCGAGGTATGATTGGTTCATTACTATATTTGACGGCAAGTCGTCCTGACATTATGTTTAGTGTTTGTTTGTGTGCGCGCTTTCAAGCAAATCCGAAGGAATCGCATCTCACTGCTGTGAAGAGAATTATCAAGTATCTCAAAGGAACGACCAACGTCGGATTATGGTATCCTAAAGGTAGTACTTGTTCTTTAGTTGGTTATTCTGACGCTGACTATGCAGGATGCAAAACCGATAGAAAAAGTACAAGTGGTACATGTCATATTCTCGAAAATGCTCTAGTATCATGGGCCTGCAAGAAGCAAGCTTGTGTAGCACTCAGCACCGCCGAAGCAGAATACATCGCCGCAGGAAGTTGCTGTGCACAGATTTTATGGCTGAAACAACAACTTCTGGATTATGGTGTTGACCTCGGATGCATTCCTCTACGATGTGACAATACTAGTGCCATAAATATCACAAAGAATCCGGTTATGCATTCCAGAACAAAGCACATCGATATCCGACATCATTTCCTTCGAGATCATGTATTAAACAAAGATGTTGATGTTACTTTCGTCGACACACACAACCAACTCGCCGACATCTTCACCAAGCCTTTGGCAAAAGAACCATTCTACAAAATTCGGAGAGAACTTGGGATTCTTGATGAAGGTGACATCTGATCCTTGTCTCATTATATGTATGCATTAATTGTAATATGTTTTCATGTGTATGCATTCTGTTTTTATGTATTTTTCAAAAATTCGAGCATGTTAATCGATTAACCATATGGGTTAACCGATTAACACTGTTGAATTTTCAATTCTGATTAAATTTTTTAATGTGTTAACCGATTAACCTATATGGTTAACCGATTAACACTATTAATTTTTTCAAAAATCAGAAACAAAAATTAATTAAATTTTTGAAAATTTTATATTTTTCTTTATATATTTTGTGTGGTCCATATTCTCTTAAATATCCACATCCATATCCAAAATCCACATTCCCTCTTAAAATCCTAACTTCTCTCTCCCACTCTCAAAAGTTGGAAAAACTCCCCACAACTTCTCAAACCCTAACTTCCTCAGAACCCACAACCCCAGTTCTCTCAAACCTCCATCCATGGCTTCAGCATCAAACCGCGGGAAGGGAAAACTTCCAGAACATCACTTTGCATCTGATGAAGATATTCCTATGGAAACAACCAAGAAGCGCAGAATGGATTTCAAAGTCCGAGTTCGTTCTATCCTTCCGGTAAAGTATGTGAATCTTAAGGCTTTTCCTGCATCATCTTTTGATTTTCCTGCTTTGCTCAAATATCAGAGGATCGATAAATTTGTGTCTGATTCTGGAAACTGCTACCCGGATCTTGTCAAATCCTTTTTGCATAAACTGTCTGTGTTTCTAAATGCAAATGATGAGCATATTATGAAAACAATTGTTAGAGACTGTGTTGTTGAAGAAAATCTGTCTGATGTTGCTGCAATGCTGAACATACCATCATCTGGGTACTTTTTGAGAAAGGGAGTTAACCACGTGGAAGGGTCGTGGTCCAACTACGACAAGATGGAGTTCTATTATCAGATCTGCAGATTTCCAAAGGAGATGATTATCGCCAACCAACGTACTGCTCGTCTGTTGTGCTATGCAAAGAATCTTACCGTCTCTGATCGGATGCTTCACTATATAATCTGCTATGTGCTGATTCCCAAGGATTCGAATCATGCACAAATTAATGATCTGGAAATGCAACTTCTTTTCGCCATCAAGAACAAGATTCGTGTCAATTGGATTCTGACCATCATGTATCACCTTCAACAACAACTATCTTTGTCGACCCGTCTTCCTTATGCACGGCTGATATCAAGAATTTTGGAATTGACTACTTTGGATCTTAACCGTGAACCAACCATCAAGATGAAATCAACCACCAATGAGATCAACGAGATTACAATTGTCAAGAATACTGGAATTTTTAAGGATAATGACGGTACTTACAAGTATTCAGAAGAAGGAGCCAATGCTAACCAGGCCTTTCCCGTACCTGCAGGAGGCATCACAAACGAGTTCCTTTACCAAACTATCATGACTCAGCATAGAGAAACCTCCCGGGCCATTGCTTCTCTCCGGAACCTTGTACTTTCTTCTTACCACACCAACCCTGACAACCCTGTTGTATCTGATGAAGAAAATGAAGGACAAGAGGAAGAAGAGGAGGAGGATATGGCGGATGAGGATTTTTAGAGAATATGCTGCTGCTGTTGTTTTTATTGCTTTGCTTTCTAGTTTTAAGTTTTTATGCTTTCTTTTGAACTATGTTTTATTGTAACAAGTACAATTTCTATTTGCTGCATTTTATATGTACTACTGTTTGTGCTTTGTGTTTACTTGGCTTTGCATGTGCTTATTACTATATATGTTGCTATCTTGTGATTTCTTTGAAAGCTCTTCCTTTTTGCTGATGTCAAAGGGGGAGAAGAGCTTGGTTCTTTTAATGTCTCTCTGTGTGCAGATTTTTTTCCTCTGTTAAGATAGGGGGAGTTGCTAGACATAGGGGGAGAACCAGATCAAGAACCAAGAGATATCGCACAACATTTTTGATTGTCATCATCAAAAAGGGGGAGAATGTAGAAGCATGCTTCAGTCTCAAGTTTTGATGATGTCAATACTACTCAAAGTCATCTCTTGATTGCAAAAAGACAAGCCGTTCAAAGTCATCAAGATAAAGTCATCTAGCTATCTTTCAAGTCAAGCTACATATGGAACTGACTCTTCCAGACTTGGCTGCATTACTGGTATATCAAATCCACCTTTATAATTTGATATACAAGTGTTCAAAAACATCAATCATTTTTGCATAATACATAAGCATGTTTTTGAAACCTTAAAAATGGTATAACATTAATTTTAAAAAGCATTTTTCTGAAAATTAGCAGTGTTAACCGATTAACCATATAGGTTAACCGGTTAACCAATTTGAATTTTGAATTTTCTGGGCTAACGTACCAGTGTTAACCGATTAACCATATGGGTTAACCGATTAACACTGAACGTGCAGTGAAAAATTGCTTTGTTTTGAGTTCAAAAAATTATTTTAAAAACATACCTTTTCATGGTTTGAATCTTTTAAAATCATACCTTTTCTGAAAGGTTATTTTACTCATATAAATTCTGAGTTTTTCATTTTTGAAAAACAACCAATAGAACATAACTCAAAAACTTTTCAACCTCTAATACTCTTTTTAAAATTGTCTTGGAATCAAATTCATTTTTCAAAAAGTGTTCATACTTGCATTGAAAATTTCATATTCATTGAACACTTGTATTGAAAAATTACAAAGAGTGAATTTTGATTCATTGGAGAAGATCACTTTGATAGATATACTCAATCCAAATTCATTACAATTATTTTATTTTTGACTTGTGATCCAGGATTGTTGGACACAAGGGTGAGTGTTTACAAGAGGATTGTTCTTGTACACTTGTGAGTTTTATTGTTTGATAGTAGGCCTCACCGGTTGATGGTGTGATAGGTTGTACTGTTTTAAACAATAGTGAAAATTCTCTTTCATGTTGAAAGGGGAGTGGAGTACTCTCGGATTGTGAGGGGAACCACTATAAATCCTGTGTCTTTCTTTCTTTCTGTTGATTTACTGCTTTCCATAACCAAGAACACCATCCAGTATATTTTCCAAGAACCATATAAAAACCGAAAAAATTTCAAAAGTCCTAATTCACCCCCCCTCTTAGACATACTCTGTTCTTACATATATTAGTTATTACTTGTGTTCATTTATTGTCCATTAATTGTTAATAAATCTTTCCAATTCCCACTCTAATTAATAATATTTCAACAATATGTTAGAGATGTTTTTTTTTGAATAAAGGTTATAAATTTTATGAACATTCTTATGAGATTTTAAAATTAAATTATAATTCAAACTTATGTAAACTTTTCTTAAAAAAAAAAAAGTGTATTTAATTTTCATATTTATGAGTTCATATTAAATCTACTCTTCTACATACACGGAAATCGTCGGCGAAATTTATGCATAGCCGCCAGAGCGCATGTTAGTCACAGTCCTATACACTACGCCGCGTTGTTTCGATCACCCTGAGCTGGCATTTCATCATACATGTCACGCGCTAAATCAAACGCGTAAACTCCACGTCTTCCTCTTCCTTCTCAAAAGTTCAAACATTGGAACGTTGAAACTTCAATCACAAGTTGCACAAATAATTTATCCCATATTCTCTCTTTGTCAATTTTCAGTTTCACTACCCTATCTTCAAATTCCGATCTTCCATTTTCTTGGTTGTTCAATTTTGCAATGGAATCGAAAAACCCTACTAGGTTCAAGCTTGGGAAACAGTCGTCGCTAGCACCGGAACGAGATAGGGAAGAGGATGAAGTTCATCATGAAGGTGATGCTAGTATTGATGCTGGAGTTAGGTTGATGTATTCGGCGAATGAAGGTGATGTTGATGGAATTCGTGAGGTGTTGGAATCTGGTGTGAGTGTGAATTTTAAGGATGTTGATGGACGTACTGCTCTTCATATTGCTGCTTGTCAGGGGTTAACTCATGTTGTTGATTTGTTGCTTGAGAATGGTGCTGCTGTTGATCCTAAAGATCGATGGGGGAGCACGGTAATTTGTTACTCTCTTCAAATTTCCTTTGTTAGTAGTTTTTTAACCACTGATTTAGTTTAGTTGCATAATTGATAAAGATTCAGTGCAAAGTTTACTGAGGTAGATAAAAAATAGCGAGGATTAGAGATGTGGACTTCTGCCATGTGTCATTAATGTAAGATGGGTTGGTTGAAGTTTTGATACATGGAGAGAAACATGGTCCGGGATAGAACATTATGGCGAAAGTTGATCCATGTAGCCGATTCTACTTAGTGGGATAAGGCTTGGTGGTTGTTGTTGTTGGTGGTATAGATTTCATTTGCATTGCAATGGTCTAAATCTGGCTTTAGCTTTTCGGACAGTTTTATAGTTTCACATGGGATGGGATGAGATATGACATGAAACTGATGGAGGCATCCTCTCCTTACAAGCTGATTTTGTAGGATAGAGTTAAGTCCATCCAAGTTTTAAGATCGTATAAGAGTCTGTCTCAGATTTGTTGGACTGCATGCTATCATGTGACCCTTTTGGACCACCCTTGGGCCGCACTTCAAATGTTAAGGTGTTTGGTCTTGAGTGTTAAGAAGTTTATAAGGGGGGGAGGCGATACAACCTGATAATGTTTATAGGTTGAAGACATCCTCGCCTTGCAAGTTGGTATTTTTAGGATAGAGTTTGGCCCACTCAAATCTAAGAGTCTTGATTTTATGTTTCCTTGCTAGTCTTGCTATGGATTCATTCTTTACATTGTAATGACTGAATAAATGACTAGGCTTGATCTTGAGTTCCTAAGAATAAATGTATATCATTATGTGTCTTGAACTCGGATGACTGTCCCCCTGTTCAAGAGATAATCATACACAACAGTTACATTGGTTGACTATTGGACGTTTAGATTTGGAGAGAACACACAATCTTGCTTCCTTATACCGTGTTTGATTGATTTGGATTGTATTCCCTCTTAATTCCAGCCCATCACTGATCTCGTCCGTTGGTGAAAATTAAATGGCTTGTATTTTGAATTTTATCTTAAACTTGATTAAGGGAAGTCAGAATAGCAGCCATCCATTCTTCATTAGTGGTTGAGATATTGACTGCAGTGACACAAAATTTGCCAACTGCAAATAAACTAGGTCCATGTTTCATGACACAGTTTTAAGCCTCAGGGAGTCAGGAGAACCACAAACCTTTGAGTTCTATTGCAGCTCCCTAAAATTGTATTTGAAAACTAACTTATAAAATGAAAGAAATAAAATTAAAATAGGGAAAAGGGGAGGAATTTAGATATCTCACTTGCCTTACCTGATTGAGTTAGACCCATTGTAATATTTTATGCATGCATCTTGTTTATTGCAGGAAGGTTGACTAAATGTTTAGCTTTGAGATCTTGAGTTATTTTCAAAAAGTAAAAGCTAAATGGTTAACTTTATATGTGCGCAGCCTTCTTGTCATTTGTTCTGAACTTAGAGTGGAGAAGAGCGGTGTGTACGCAACATTCATTTGGCAGTGTGATTTCATAATTCATATATTTTCAAGAATTGATGTTTTGTTTTACATGGGCTAAGTAATTCTCTCCTTAAAACACATTTGTATGATGGGAGTATAATCAACAAGATCATATAACTATTGCGAAAATGAGAGAATGTGTTTCATCTAGTGCTGCAAATCGTATTGGGTTTCTTTCTGTTTGAAATATTAATTATGATGGTTCCTTATCTTAGATTCATGGCCAATGAAATGATGTTTTCTGTTCAGCTTGTATCACATTTCCTCCGATTTTATTATAGGATATTTCACATTTTATAACAACAATAATCACGGAGTCTTCTGTATGGACTGAGTTTTGAAAATAAATTATTGCTTTTATGTATGTTTCTACTGGACTGGTTATTAATTTCGTGTCTCTTGACTTAAACAGCCCCTTGCAGATGCTATATTCTATAAAAACAATGACGTGATCAAACTATTGGAGAATCATGGAGCAAAGCCTCTGGTGTGTGTAAATTGAGAATTGTTGCACTTATTTATCTTGACCTATTAGTCTTTTCTTCTGAATTCTGCTAATGAGTGGCAATAAATGTAAATATACTGTTTCAGATGGCCTCTATGCATGTTAATCATGCACGTGAAGTCCCTGAATATGAAATCGATCCTAAAGAACTTGATTTTACCAACAGTAAGGAAATAACAAAGGTAAACAAATCGTTAGTCAATCTTCCAATTCCATTGCATGTACAGGATTCTTCCATCCTATGATCTTTTCTTAATTGACAGGGGACTTTCTGTATTGCATTGTGGCGTGGGACCGAGGTTGCGGTAAAAAAGCTTGGGGAGGACGTCATAATTAATGAGGAGAAAGTGTGAGTTGTGTATGAACCTTGTGCAGAGATTGTTTCGTTCTATTATATGCTTTCATGATAATTAATATACGTGAGTTCTAACAGGAAGGCTTTCAGAGACGAGCTTGCTCTGTTCCAGAAGATTCGGCATCCAAATGTAGTACAATTTCTTGGTGCTGTGACACAGAGTAGTCCAATGATGATTGTGACAGAATATCTTCCCAAGGTTTTGTTTTGTCCTATTTTATATGCATCCAAGGTTTTGTCCTATTTTATATGCATCCAAGGTTTTGTCCTATTTTATATGCATCCAAGGTTTTGTCCTATAATCTTAAAGGCCATGATCTTGTGGTGTTTCTTGGGATGCTAGTTGTTGTAATTCAATAGTAATATGATAGAAAATGTTCCTTTATAGATCTCATTTGCCCTTGTTGTGCAGGGAGATCTTCGTGATTTCATGAAAAGAAAAGGAGCTTTAAAACCAAGTACAGCTGTTAGATTTGCACTTGATATTGCTAGGTATTTGACACTCTCATGCCTAGATTTTATTTTGGTTATTCTCTAAAGCAATGCTTGTCTTTTTTCTCTAAAAGTGTCACTTAACACCGTTTTTTATTTTATATTATGCAGGGGAGTGGGTTATTTGCATGAAAATAAACCATCACCCATTATTCACCGTGATCTCGAGCCTTCGTAAGTTTCTTTGTTGAATTATTGTTTTTGCCTTTGGTCTTTTATGTGAAGTTCGTATATCTGGATGAATCGTCTGATATATTTACACTTTTTTTTATCAATGTTGCTTATGAGTAAGCTAACAGTAATATATTGCGGGATGATTCCGGCCACCTAAAAGTTGCAGACTTTGGAGTTAGCAAGTTGCTAGCAGTTAAAGAAGACAAGCCTCTAACTTGCCAAGATACTTCTTGTGGGTGCTTCTTTTCTTTAGAACTGTCATTAATTCACACTTAAAATATCTAAATATCTAATACTATATTCTCTTATTCATATAGGACATTGTGATATTTTTAATGCAGTGGTCTTAGATATGCTGCTTCATGAGATAATTTTCTAAAAAACTAGGAAATTTGTTATTTTTGTTAATAGGCCGATATGTGGCTCCTGAGGTTTTTAATCAAGAGGAATATGACACTAAAGTGGATGTGTTCTCATTTGCACTAATTCTACAAGAGGTAACTAATTTTAGCGTTTCATCTTTATATGGAACTATACATTTTGCTACATAAGAACATTTGTTGTTTATTAATATTGAACATATTTTTGTTCCCTATAAAACTGAAAACAAAATACCAGACATTTGTTACTGATACGAGACTAAAATCACAAGGGTTATTAGACTTGTCTTTGCAATGTCCAAAGAATTAATTGGAACAGAAACATATGGGAAGTATTCCTTATGCATCTGTAGTTGGGAGTTGATGTATGTTCAAACATGTACAAGACCAGATACCAATTTTGTAGTTGGTGTGCTAGGTAGATACAAGAGTAATCAACTGAAAAGCTGCAAAGAAATTATTGATATATTGGTAAGGAACAAAGGATCACATGCTTACTCATAGGAGATTTGATCACATGCCAAAACCAATTTGTTTTTTCTTCTATAGGAAATAAAAATATATTTAACCCTTGTGTGAACAATTCCGAGTATATTATGTAAACAAATGCATTTCTTAAATCTTGAAAATGGAAATGGGTAGCTCCCTTTCTAGAGGAAGGGATGTAACCATTATTGTTGATGGCGGAACATGGAAGGTAAAATATCTACCATATAAGCATGTCATTGTGGTCTATCATCTATGGTGCTGCCATGGCGGGTATCCCTTCACAAATTTCCCATGGCAATTGTGAAATAATCTGCCACGCCATGGTTTCCATTTAACAACAATGAATGTAACTAACTGAGTGGTGTCAAGACTCCAAATGATATATATATATATATAGCCTTTGTCATCTAAGATCTGGCTGCTGGCCTGTTGTCCCTCCAGTGTGTTTGGCTGCTTTTTGAGTCTACTCATCGGATAAATCCTGCCCTCTCTATTGCAGTGTTCTTGGGTTCAGTCCAGCTCTTTCTTGGCTTTTTTTCTTTGTAATCCACATATTCTAAAGATACATAGGGCATCAAGTTTTCTTGAGTGTTTGTTTTCAGTGACACAATACAGAAGAAGCACAAGGAAACAATATATTCATTCATTTGTTATTTGCGATAGTGTTAGACAAACCAAATTTTCGTAGAGTCGTTGGGACTGCATAAACATTTCCTGTTTTCATTTTCTATTTTCAAGAATTAAGAAATGCATTTATTTTAACTTAATTTCATTTTCAAGAAATAAAAATATTAAAAATGAGTTTGGTTTGTTTTAACTTCTGCCATGCAAAATTTTTAAATCTCTTTAATTTGATGAGTTGGTTCCCTCATTTCCTATCATTTCAAGTTTTCAACTATAAGATAAGATGGCATTTTCTGCTATTGCTCTGTGATTGCTTTTTTATGTCTGATGGTTTTGGCTTGACGCCTTTTTGGTTACATGGAATTATTGTAGCTTTCTTGTTAATGATATACATTCATAACTTCATGTAATCATTACTGATGTTTACTATATGCTCCACTTTAGATGATTGAAGGCTGCCCTCCTTTTTCTGCAAAGCGTGACGACGAGGTTCCTAAGGTTTATGCTTCAAAAGAGAGACCGCCCTTCCGAGCTCCTACTAAGCATTATTCTCATGGAATTCGAGAGTAAGTTTTCTATGCTTTTTAGGTGATATTTAATACTATCTTCATCCTTTTCTACAAGTACCTTAGGAATTTTTCACATATATTAAGAAAAGTTGGTAGTGTAATTAATCTTTACATTTTGTACATAAATATTACTAGATCGTCTTTTGTATATAGAACTATTCAATCAGACTTTTCATCTTTTAAAACAAATTAGTATTGTTATTAATAAGAGGTATATTTATAAAAAGTTATATGCAGAGACAAAAATCTTTTGAAAGTGTGGTTATAATTAGGGACAGATTTAGTAGGTAATAGGATGTTAAACTATTTCTTCATCTTAAACTCTTCTAATTCACATTCTTTTGCTAATTTAATAAGTATGAGTATTTTTTTCCATCTGATTTGACAAATAATTAGTGCCCGTAAACATTTTTTCCATTCTACAAAGCAAGTTGTGCTTACTTAATCGAGTGCATGTTTGGACTGTCAATGATAATGATATTGTCAGATTCTTGGCGAGCCATCGCAATCTCAGCAAAATCTACACGTTAGAGCTTCAACAAAATCACATAATCACTGATTTTGAGAAACTCATTGTTAATCATATCATTCTTGACTCCTATTATTTAACATAACTTTTCTGCCAAATTTTATGTAATTTACAATTTGTTGCTAAGAGTATCTGCTTACAGGTTGATTGAAGAATGTTGGAATGAGAATCCAGCAAAGAGGCCAACATTCAGACAGATAATAACAAGGTTGGAAACCATCTACAATACAATTGGTCAAAAAGGACGTTGGAAGGTTACTATCTCTCTTACATACCCCTCACCTCTTTGATCCAGATATTTTTGCTTACATATCAATATATATTACTCCCTCCATTCCTATTTATAAGTAAATTTTAATATTTTAGATTCATTAAGTAATTAATGCATCTAACCTATAGTCCAAAATAAATACATTATTTATTGAATGAATCTAAGAAGTTAAAATTTACTTATAAAAGAGAATGGAGGGAGTAGTTTCAAACTGCGTGAAAATTGGTTTAATACTGTTTGTGTTGAGATATAGTCAATTTCATGAATTCTAGCATGAAAAAGATTTTGCTAATTACAAAACATGCAGAGGTATTGTAACATTGAATCATTGATACCAGTTGCTTCTATGCTCCTTGTAACATCTGCAGGTTAGACCATTGAGGTGCTTTCAGAATCTGGAAGCTTTGTTGAAGAGAGACCGATCAAAATTAAGCAGCCGGGGAAGTTCATCTCGTTCCTCTACCAGCCGTATATGAAGGATTAAGATTGATGTTACTGTGTATAAACTTCAATATTGGGGTAAAGATACAAATCAATTTTCATTTCACTTGAGTTGGAGAATTGCAATGTTTTCTCACGTGTATTCCCAGCTGCATGATTGTGATTTTAGATTTCAAGATTCTTCAATAATTTGTTTCCAACTTCATGACTACCTGGCTATAGAATTGCTTGTAAGCTGTAACAAAAGAATGTATTCTAGGAATTTGCTATATGTCATGTACATTATGTATGTATTATGCCTCAAAAAGACATTTTTTTGTATATACATTTTGCAGGATTTTTCATCAGATTTTTATTCCAATCATTTATTGCAGCTAAGATGATAATGACTACGGGTGTTGGGACATATGAAACATGCTGGGGCGCAGGTTCACATATTGTTTTAGGGAATGGCTAATTCCACATAAGTGTTTGGAAAAACACCCTATAAAAATTTTAAAATGTCTCTTTAATTTCGAAAATGTATTATTTGTTGCATTTTACGGAAACAGGTTCCAATGGGTCTCACTTCATTTTTTTTTCAAATTTTATTTTAGAAATGCATTTTCAGAACAAGTTTATGTACACCTCCCCATACATTCTTCATTGAGACATTCTTTTTTGACATAAAATATTTCGAAGATACATTTCTGTATTCACATCAAACATAATTTAGAGATACATCGGAATCACGTCAGACAATAATATTTTATTTTGATACTGCGCACGACGGACTCAAACCCCCCGTTTCTATGTTGCCTTTTATTATGTAGTGCATTTTCTGTCGTGGCATCTAGAATGTCCCACACCTTAGAGTAACTTGAAAAAAGTCCTATGCTTATACCTTATTATGTAGTGCCTTTTCTGTCGTGGCATCTCAAATGTCCCACACCTTAGAGTAACCCGGAAAAATTCCTCTGTCTATATCTGTATGTTCAATCTCCATGATATGACGATATCTATGCAATACATCAACATAATTCATTCTAGTCTCCTCCTCTAGTATCTCCTGATGAGTTGATCTATATGGATCTTTTTGGGCATCTGTTGTGATATAAGGATGAGACACCCTAAAATACCATTGGATGTAGCTGTGTACAACACTCCAGTTGCCAGAAGTTATGATATTTCGTGTCTCATCTGATATCAGATGATTAAGATGATCATCAAATGCGGTATCCATATCTCTATGTGTCATAGAGGGAGGGGTAAACTCAGATGAGTCTATGGGAATAAATTGCATGTAGCTGAACTGCCGCATGACACTATTAGGTAGATGAGGATACGTCAGACGTGAACAACAAGCCAACCATTCAGAGTAGAAGACTATGTCAAAGAGACGCATCTCATAGTGAGTGTTGTAAGTATGAAAGTTTATATCTTATGCTACCAAACAATCAAGATACACTATGTATAGCTCAGTTGCTTGATTTCCTCTGAGTGGGACGAATGCAGAAGAACATGGCATATCCTCAGAGTATGTCGGAACACATGACCAACCAGATATGTTTGAGAAATGCTGGAGGCTCCAAGCTTGAAAATAGTAAATATGAATAATTAGTAATGGCGTAGTGAAAGTGTTATAAAAATGGCACACAAACACTAAAAGATGTAAGAATATTACTATCAATAGTGTGATGTTGTCTATCATCTGTTTGATCTTCTACTTACAACCTTGAGCTAACTTGGAGTACTGGTAGACCAAATAAGCGGCTCCCGAATTATACTCATTAATCTGCTTCAAGTAATCGAATATCCCATGTACACGTAAGTTCTGTGACTTTTGGATTGACTGCATTTTAGTAAAACAACATGTTGTTAGCAAGATGTTGATCCAGATGTTCTGCCATGACAGTCAGACATCATGTTCTTGTGAAATCAAGATTCTCAGATATCAGCATATGTTTTGATGAAGACAAACCACTTAAAGAAGGCAAAGATGATCAACCACAAGCATCAGGACAAACACAACTTTAACGATGTTTTCTCAAAAGGTATAATGAAAACTTTCATTAAGTACTTAAGTCCTAATTACTCAAAACATTAAAAGAATTTTACATTACTTTTCACTAACACAAGCTTTTAAAAATGATAATTTTTCTAAGTTTTTGTAAGTGCAATCGATTGCACTCTTAGAGCAATCGATTGCATGATCAATTTTTTAACTCATTTTTGCTTCTGTTTCAGTAAGCAATTGATTGCATGCTTAAATTTTTTTTTAATTTTTCACTTCTGTTTTGAAGTGAAATCGATTGGTCTAAAGGTGTAATCGATTGCTCTTTTGAAAATTTGAATTTTCAAGTAATTATGTGAAGGTGCAATCGATTGGTCTCTTTGTGCAATCAATTGCTCACTGAACGTTTTTAAAAAATCTTTCTGAAAAATTGCATCTCTTCAATCAAATTTATGTGGAATGTTTCCTTTGAAACATGACAACTGTTCATCAATTTTTCTGGAGATTTGCATGTTTTTCTCAAGAGGTGTTTATGTAATATAAATACCTAACTCTTTCAAAATTCAAAAAAAAAAAAAATTTAACAACATCTCTTTCAATTCTTTTAAAAATCTGTATCATAATTTCATCTTTCCACTTCTAAGAAAATTCACTTTTTCACAAAGAATTTTCTGCATAAAATTTCATATCCTTTGAAAAGAAAATTCTTGAGCAATAAGTCTTAGAAACTTGTGGAATTTCCCATTGAAAGAGAAGATCAATCTCAGCATTGATAAACAACTGTATACATTGTTACAAATCATTACAAAAATCAGAATTGTATGTATTTCCCCTTGCTGTTTAGGATTGTTGAAAGCAAGTGTGTGCATTAGAGAGGATTGTTCTCATTGCACTTAGTGTTTAGATCTTAAAGTTGTTTAAGAGCCTTTGATCTCCCTATAGGTTAGATAGAAAGTTGTACACTGATCCTAACTATAGTGAAATCTCTTTTGAGTTGAAAGGGGAGTGGAGTACCCTCGGAGTGTGAGGGGAACCACTATAATTCGCTGTGTCTTTTTTACTTTCTGCCTTTACAAGCTTTCATAACATCACTCTGCAAAAAGAAAGTAATATAACTCTTTTAAAACCAGAAAATTTCAAAAGAACCTAATTCACCCCCCTCTTCTTAGGCACAATTCTTACTTACAGTTCTGCATGATGTTGTGACATGTTCCAGGACATGTTATACCAGAAAGTTAGGGCATGACTATTTTCGTATTTTTAATGTGATTTTTGAGTGTGTTCTGATGCACACGTGGAAAACTTTCATGGGAGTATATTGTGTGAATTTCTGTTATACAGATTCTATTTGTTTTTATAAAAAGGTTCTTTAAGCCTTTTTAGGAAAGTTTGTATTTTACTCCTATTATTGTGCAGGTAGATTTGCAGCGAGTTAAGATTGATTGCTCCTATTTGTGCGCCTCAACAGCCCAAGCCCACAAGGTCTGAAGGTTATTTAAAGATGACCTAAACCTAATGAAGATACGGTTTTCACTTTTGTAAAATAAGGGGAGGTTTTAGAATCTTAGATTTTGAGAGTCTTGTTCTTGTTAATTGTATGTCACTCTTTGTATCTTCTGATGCATTATGGTAGACTGATTTTGTATTGTTAATTGTCCACTATAAAGCTTGTAAGTAAGAGTGTATTGTTCTTGGTTGAAGATTTTAAGCAAAATCGAGTATTGCAGTTGGAAGAGTGTTCTTCTTCTTTTTGGTTTCTCGAGGTATTGTCATTGGGATTGTGGCTGATTAGGAAGTGAGAGGGGATCTCATATCTAGAGGGTTTCTAGGTAGAAGTTGCATAAGGTAGTGATTAGGCGAGAAGTTGTAAACGGAAGAATTTAGCTTTGAACTAATGCTATCATAGTGAATTTCCTTCCTGGCTTTGATGCCTCTAGATGTAGGTGATGTTGCATCGAACTGAGTTACCAATTCACTTTGTTGTTTTTATTTTTGCAATTTATTTTTCAGTCTGGTTTATTTGTTATCAGACATAAGATGTTGTATCATCTGTCTTGAAATTATATTCTGATGTGAGGACATTAGTATTAACATGTGTTAGAGTGTCATGATTTCAATTGGCATCAGAGCTGGCACCCTAGTCAGTTTTGGGTGAGCTTTAGTGAGATTTTTTTCTGGTACTGTTTGATCATTGTAAGGACAACATCTATTGGAAATCTGTCACCAAAGAATGTGTTTGGATTGTTCATTGTGAAGATTTGAAGTTCATATCCAATGAAGTTGATTAGCATGTGTTCAGATTGATAAACACATGTGTGGTAACCAAAGACGCTTGTGAGTCTCTTAAGATCTTTCATGAAGGCACATCTGGTCAGGTTAGTAGGGTTTAGTAGTCTTTACCTAAGAGATATGTCATGAATGTAACTGCTATTGAAGATATAGATCAAGTCACCATCAGCACAAGTGAACCTCTTAGGTCACTACTTTATTGCTTTGTCTTTGAGAATGACAAGTGTGATTTGAAGAACATGAGCATGGTTTTTGTCTTCTACTCTGTAGAAGTGTGTGACTGGGCATATGATGAAGAGACATTTCAATCCAGATCTGAGGAAAATGGAAAGATTGACAAGGTCAAATTTCAAGTACATTTATCCCAACATCTTCAAGATTCCGCTGCTTAAAGATATGTTGAAACTGGTGTAAAGGTAGAGCTTATCAGTGTCATGAACTTGAAGGGTTCTTTCATTGCATTAGGGCAGAGTGCTCTATTTTTGGGGCAACTTTAAGAGTTGTCTGTCTCATATCTGATAAGTGGAATTTTTCTTTTTGATGTGTTGGAAGTGTGCTTCAAGTTGGGATGATGTTTGGAAGTCCTTAAAGGGATAGGGTGCTCAAGACTATATCAAGCAAGTTAGATCTCATGGATAGAATAATTTGTTTCTATCAATAGGAAAGTTGAGTCAATGATGTCTTTGTCATGTCTCGACATGGTGCTGGACATCAAATTATTCATGATAGAGGCAGGAACTTGCTCTGAAGGTG